TTGCTGCGCAACAGCTGCCTGCTGCACCGCATTGCGTTGCGCCCTTCTTGCGTCGCGGATGCCGTACTGCCGTTGTAGGCTGCGGGGGAGGGAGTGTGGTCGCTGGGCGCCGCCGTTGCTGCTGCGCTGCCGCATGCCTGCGCCATCCAGGGTCTCCACCATGAGCTCAGCAAATGCCGCTGCCAGCTGCTCCAGGGCTGCAGGGCTGGCCGCTGACTCCGCTGCCGCTGCCAGGGCATCCAGCTGCCTCTGCGTGCCTGCGAGGAGCGCCACGGCTGCTGCCAGCTGCTCAGCTGTCCCCAGCTCGAATTGGCGCTGCTGCGGGGGTGCGGAGGTGTGCTCCTGCTGCGCCGTGCTGTCCCGCTGTACCGCCGGGGGTGCTGCTAGCTCCAGCAGGAGCGTTGCGTGGTCGGAGTGCTGCGTTGCCAGGCCCCAGCTGTCCACCGCCATGGTGGGCAGCCGCGGCAGGAGGCTGGCGCTGGCCAGCCAGTAGTCAACCACCGCCCTGCCGGTGCCGCGGCTGCCGAAGCTGGTGGCGTCGCCGCTGGTGGTGCCCGGCACTCTGCCGTTGCAGATGCGGGCCGCGCTGCTTTGGCAGAGGCTGAGCAGCTGCCTGCCATGGGAGTTGGGGGCCGCCGTGTCGCTGCTGCGGCGGGCAGGGCAGCCCGCGTCTTCGTCGCCGTCTGGCCAGTCAGGGAGGGAGGCGGTGCGCCCGTTGGCATCCATGGCGTGCAGCGCTGCGCCAGCTGCCTCGGCCTCCGCCAGCACATCCGCGTGCCGCAGGAACCAGGCCGGCACATCCTCGGGGCAGCCGGGGCTGCCCTGGGGCGGCAGGTAGGCGGTGCCCAGGAAGAGCGGCAGCCCGCCAGGCAGCGCGCCCTGCACCCGCACCCACAGCCGGCCGTCAGCCGCGTCGCTCCGCCACAGCGCTGCCGCCACCTTCCAGCTGTCCGCCAGCAGGATAGCTACGCCGCCGTACCCATCTGGCCGGGCTGCTACAAACACCCTGCTGTATCCTGGCAGCCGCGGCAGCGCCTCGCCCGGCTGCAAGTGGATCTCTGCTAGCAGGAGCGCCGCCGGCTGCTGAGGGCGCTGTGCCAGCGCCCACATGATCGGGCCAGCGCGGCCCTGGCAATTCTGGAATGCCAGCAGCGCGCGGGCCCCGCGCCCCTAGGCTGGCGGCAGCCCTTGGCGGCGGCGGCTGTGGCGGCGGCCATCCTGCGTCTGCCCCTCCTGCTCCGCCTCTTCTGCCTCCTCTGCCTCCAACCCCTCCTGCGCCTCCACCTCCTCCTCTGCCTCCTCCTCTGCAGCGGCCGCCGCTGCTGCTGCGGCTGTTGCTGCCGCCGGTGCGCTGCGGTCGCGGCGGCGGCCGCGGCTGGCCGCTCGGCGAGGCCGGGGCACAGGCGGCTCACGCATGCCACGCTGTGCCCAGTACCCTGCCCGCGCCGTTGTGGTCATTGCGGCCTCCTCCATCCAGCTGGGCTGCCAGTCCACCAGGTAGAAGCAGCCTGTCGGCGGTGTTTGTGCTGGTGGCGGGGGCGCTGGCAGAGGGCGCCGTCTTCCCCTGGAACCTGGGCAGGTAGGGCGAGGCCCCTCACCGCTGCTGTGGCACACAATCCGCCACGCCCAATGCTGCTGGAGGAATCATGTGGCCCGCCGCCGTGGCAGCAGCTTGCGCCGGGGCTGCCCTTGGGGGCTCGAGTTTGTGCCGCCTCCTGTGGCTCTAATCGCCGAGGCTGCCCCCTGCTCCTTTCCTCCTCCGCTCCCTCCTTTCCTCCCCGCAGGCTGGGCAACGCCTTCACGCTGTGGCTGGGCATCGACCCCCCCGACCTCTTCTTCTACGCCTTCCTGCCACCCCTGCTTCTCCACTCCGCCCTCTCCATCGACTACTTCCTGTTCAACAAGGCAGGGGCGGGACCAGCTTCCGGCCGGTACCAGCCTCCGCACAGATTCACTTTGCTGATTGGGCGCAGCTCGAGCCGCCCGGGCACAGCACCTGCTCCAGCCAGCGCAGCTCACAATCGGAAAGCAGTGCCTGTTGGATTGGGCTGGCCAATGCATGCCCTTGAGCGGTGCTGTTGCCCTTCCCTGCCCTTCCCTGCCCCTGCAGGTCATGATGCAAGTCATGGTGTTTGCCTTCCTGGTGGTGCTGCTCTCCACACTGCTGGCCACGCCCGTGCTGCTGTACGGCCTGCGCCTGGCGGGCTGGGGCTGGCGCTGGCAGCACGGCGCGCTCTTCAGGTGTGTGTGTGTGTGTGTGTGTGTGATTGTGTGAGTGTGTGTTGCCCCTCAACTGCTGCAACCGCCACTTGCTCATGTGGCACTGCCGCGATGCTGACGTGGCATGCAGCGCCATGCTGGCGTCCACCGATGCGCTGGCCATCACCGCGGTGCTGCGGCGGGCGGGCGGGCCCGAGTCTCTCATCACCCTGATGGAGGGAGAGTCCCTGCTGAACGATGCCTCGGGCAAGTAAAAAAGCGGAGCAGGGGGCTGGCCAGCCAAGCAGCCATGGCCGCTGCTGCTGGCAGCCTGATGCGCAGCTCAGCTCGTCGCCTTGCTCCTCCGAGGAGTGAGTCACCAGCCTTGCACAGACCTGTGTGCCACCGCCGAACTGACCCCTGCAGGCATCGTGCTGTTCCAGCTCTTCCACAGCCTGGTGCAGCAGCTGCCGGCCGGGGGCGGCAGCGAGGGCGTGCCCTCCCCGCTGTCAGTGCTGCCGCTGATGGCCTCTCAGATTGCGCAGGTTGGTGTGCCAGAGCCTCTCAACTTGATTGAATTCATCGGCCAGCAAGCGATCCGCTCTCCCTGGGACGGCAATCCTCTCATAGAACTGCTCCGCCCGCCTGGCTGCCTGCCTTCCTGCCTGCCTTGTCTGACCTGGCTGCAGCTGGCGGCGGGCGGCGTGGTGGTGGGCCTGGCAGCCGGCATGCTGACGCGCCGCCTGCTCAGGGCGCTGCGCTGGCACGGCGCCTCAGCATGCCAGGTGTGCCCCCGCCTGTGCTTGCTCGTTGGACTGCTTCTGCAGTGCAGCAGGTGCACAGGGCAAGAGAAAAGGTGATTTGGTGGAGGTCGGTTGCTGGGAGACGTGCAGGCGCTTGCCGCTCGCGCTCCGCGCAGGAGGTGGCAGCCATTCAGGCGATGGGCTTCCTGGTTTTCTACATAGCCAATGCCCCGCTGCAAGTGTCGGGTGAGGCGGCAGCCGACCTGGCACCTGCCACCGCTACCAGCCAGCCTGGCGGACGGCCTGCCTGATCCTGCAGGATCAAACTGACGCACATCGCCAGTTGCCAACAGATGCTGAGCAGCGCTGCTGGATTGGTGTTGGCCCTCTCATCCTGCTGCGCTTGCAGGCGTCATTGCCGTGGTGGTGTTCGGGCTGTATGGCAACTCCACCTCGCACTTTGAGCTGGCGTCCTCGCGCCACATGCGGGAGTCAGGTGCGCTCACGAGCCAGTGTGGCACAGCTGCCAGCCTGAGATGCCACATGTGTGTGCGCCATCCAGGTTGGGACCAGCCCTAGCTGCCGATGCATGTCCCGCCCAACTTGACAACGCTGCGCCGCCATTTTCCCGGCCCGCAGCTGCGGTGCAAAACACGGTCAGCTTTGCCTTGAACGGTGTGGTGTTCTTCTTTGCGGGTGCCTCGGCATGCAACTTCATGATCAGGTGTGAGGCATCCTGCGCAGCAGCAGCGCTGGGAATATGCACAGGCAGCATGGGGGCCTGCCAAAACACTGTGTGTCGCTGTCGCTGCGTACACACTGGCCAACCTATCCTGCCACACCCTGCTGCTGCCAGCCAGTCTCCTCCCACTTGGCCCCTGCTACCCTGTGCACGTGCCCACCCATCTCCTGCTCCCACCTGTCTCCTCCCGTGTGCCCCTAGCAGGGCTGTTGAGAGCCTCAGCGACTACTGGCACTCTTTTGCACTCTTCCCGCCCGTCTACCTGGCCATGTTCCTCATCCGGGGAATCTCCATCCTCCTGTTCAACCCCCTGTTCCACTTGCTGGGCTCCCAGGCGCTGCCCCTGCGGGCGGTGCTGTTTGCCACCTGGGGCGGGCTCAGGTGGGCGGTAGAGGCGGTACATGGGGTACCATGGTGGGCCATGCTAGGGTCCCCGCTGCATGCCGCCTGATGCCTGCCCAACTACCAGGAGAAGCCTCCCACGCTACAGCATGGGCTCAGCGCGCTGCCTTCTTTTCTGAGTGCCGCAGGGGCGCCATCTCTCTCATCATGGCCCAAGTCATCGCCACGGATGAGACTGTCGCAGGGCACAGCCAGCTGGTGTCGGCACAGGTGGGCCACTCGGCAGCCCCTGCAGGTGCCGCCAGCTGCCGCTGCCTGACGCATCACACAGCATGTATGGGATATGCATTGCTGGATCGGTCAATCCAAACAATCTGCCACGCCGCGCCTGCAGATGGGACTGTGGACCAGCCTGTTCGTGCTCAGCACGCTGCTCATCAATGCGCCCACTGTGCCGGCAGTGCTGCGCTTCACCGGCCTCACACAGGCGAGCCCGCTCCTCCCGTCCCCCTGCTTCCTTGCCAGCCAGGCACCTGTCGATATGCAGTGTAGGCCAGCTGACAGTACGAGCACGTTGCAAGCTGCAGGTGTCACCTGTCAAGCTGAGCATCCGCGAGAAGGCCAAGCGCGCGCTGCTGCGCTACACAGCAGCCGCCATCCAGGCAAGCCACCTTCTGGTGCCACTCCACCCTTCTGTTTCCCTCCTCCAATCACTACAGCTCGCCTCTGATGCTCTGCCTCCACACTGCACATGTGTGGCTATAGCATGCTTTAGCGTGTGTCGATGTGGAGACTGCAGGACTTGAAGAATGATGAAGATGAGATGCTCCGAGGCGTGGACTGGGGCGCCGTGGCCCGCTACGTCGACCTGTCGGAAGAGCTGCAGCAGTTCAGCCGCGCCGGCGGCGGCGCTGCTGGCGAGGTGGCTGGCGCAGGGGCGGCGCCGCGGGAGCGGCAGCTCCAGCGGGAGCCTCCCAGCCCCGGCCCAGATGCTTGGCACCCGCAGCACCAGGTGCCGCAGCATCGGCGGGAAGGGGTGGCTGAAGGGGAGGCGGCGGCCGCCCTGGAGCAGCAGGAGGAGCTCTTCGATTCGGCAGGCTGGGCTGCGCCCTCCAGCTTCTCTGGCAGCGCGCGGAGCCGGCGCGAGGCGGCGCTGGCTGGGCTTGGGTGAAAATGCTGGGCTGGCCCCGGCTAGCTGTTTCTGCACCTGGCCTGACGTCTGCCCCCAGTGCCATTATACCTGCCTGTGCCGCTGCGCTCATCCGTGTGTGGGCTGACGGTGGGGGGCTGCTACTGTGTCGCTCCTGCACGTCGCTGAAGTGCCTGTCTGCTCCCTTGCTTCCTGCCTTCTTTCCCGCCTGCAGCAAGCTGTCCAACCGGTCGCCTCTGAGCAGCAGCCGGCGCCTGCTGGGAGCCAGCCTGGCCAACTTCAGCCACAAGTGGGAGCCCCGCTCCGGGCCCCCGCTGGGCCCATGCGCGCCTTACTCAGATGGCATCATCGGCGGTACCACAGACCTGGAGATGCCGCTGCTGCCTGCCAGCCCCAGCCGCAGGCTCAGCGCGGCGGTTGCAGCAGGAGAGGCAGGTGGTGTGAGCGCCGCGGGTGGCACAGGCCGTCGAGCGGGCCGCATGCACCGCTCGCTGTCAGCTGCCAGCGGCTCCAGTGCCCGCAGCGGGGCGAGCTGCAGCGACTTGGGTCTGTCCCCCACTGGTGCCAGCGCCGGCACGGCAGCCACTGGCGAAAGGCTGGGGGTGAGCCGGAGCAGCAGCGTGGACAGGCTTACAAAATATGGCAGCTCCGAGTTCTCAGATGAATCACCCTTCTTCCCCGCTGCTGGCGCCGCTGCTGCCGGCAAGGTGGGCCGAAGCACAGTCGTGCCAGCAGTGCTCAACGCGCCTGCACAGCATGTCGCATGCATGCATGGCAATGCCGCATGCCACAAGGCTGCCAACCCCCAAGCCGCTTGTTTAAGACATGCTGCAGGAGTCTCCCCGCCTGGCCAGCGCCAAGTCAGCGCCCCAGATGCACACCATTGTGGAAGTCGCCAGCTCAGAGGTAGGCGGCACACAGGCTTGCCCGCTGTCGGCCCTGCTGGACTTTCCCGCTGCAAGGACGTGCATGCATTTATACGGTTTTGTGCGGTGGCTGCAGGAGGAGGGAGGCTTCTCCTCTGAAGAGGACTGGGCTGCTGCTGCTGCTGCTGCCGAGCTGGGCTCCCGGCAGCCGCTGTTGGTGCAGCCAGAGGACAGCAGCCGAGCCCTGCACGAACAGCAGGCAGCGCAGAGCCCCCAGTCCTTTGCTCCACTGGATTTCGAGGTACTGCCCAGCTTCCCCTCGGATGCCGCCTTCAGCATGCCCGACTCTGGCGCAGCCACGCCCACGCCAAATGGCAGCTTCAGTATGTTGCCGGGAGCATCAGGTAGCAGTGGTGCAGCTGCTGTCGGCGCTGGCAGCAGCAGCTTTGCCGCCTCTCTCCCCGGCTCTGGGCCAGGACCCGATTTGGCAGCTCAGCCCCCCGGAGCAGGCGGTGGGATTTCGGACAGCAATGCGGCGACTGCAGATGCAGCAAGCACCAAGCCACCACCGCTGCTGCGGCCACTTAGGCTGGGCCGCCCGGCACTGCAGCGCACCTCGGCACCTGGCGCCACCACAGCTGCCGCCAGTCGCCCCATGTCGCCGCGAGGCGCCCCAGCCAGGCCCCCAGCCCTTGAAGCACTGGCAGCTGAGGCTGCCTCAGGGCCTCAGTCCCCTCGCTCCATGCATGGGCTGGTGAGGACCAGCCTCCTTCCGGCGACTGCAGACCGGCAGGCGGTGCAGCACGTGAGCGAGCTGATGAGCGGCGACGAGGAACCCAGCCTGCAGGACGGCGCCGGCAGCTGCTCCGCAGCCAGCCAAGCTGCCTCGCCCCGTGCCACAGTGGCAGCCCACGGCTCACAGCCGACGGCGGCCATGGGAGCGCCTTCCGCCTCCAGCCAGCTGCTGCCTTCTGCCGGATCTGGCACACAGTCCCGCGTGTTGACTGGCAGAGGGCCCTCTTCTCTGCTGCGTCCCTCCCTCAGCGACACGGCCAGGGGAGGCAGCGGCCTGGGCGGCCGCCGCGGCTTTGGTGGCCTGCTGCAGGCTCGCCCCAGCGACGGCCTGGCAGCGGTGCTCCAGCCTCCCTCACCTGGCAGGATTTCCCCGCTCACAAGCAGCGCCGCCACCTCCCCAGAACCCTCGGAACAGGCGCAGCTGCTGCAGCCGAGGCAGGGACAAGGAGAGAGCCGGGAAGCTGAGGAGGCACTGCCGCCGGAGCAGCCGCCCCTGCCGCTGCTGGATGCTGCCCCGCCGGATGCTGAGGCTGGCCAGCCTGGCGCCAGCGGCGAGACCGCAGATGATGCAGATGCAGCAGAGGAGGAGATAGATACTGGGCTGGAGCTGGAAGGAGCGCTACCTCCACCCGGTGGCCTGCCCGGCTTCCCGCTGCGCTTGCCGACGCGCGCCATGACCATTGCTGGCATCGAGCTGGGCAGGAGCTTCTCTCTGGCGGTGCCAGCAGCGCCCCACCCACACCACGTGGCCTCGGCTGCCGAGCTGCCGCCCCCCGCGGGTGCCGGCGTGGCAGTCGCAGCCAGCTTTGCAGGGACTCCAGGCGTCAAGCCGTGGCAGGCAGGCGCCTTGCTGCTGCGTCGCAGCATGAGCACGCCCCTGACCGGCATCGCCGAGCAGCTGGAGCAGCAGCAGAAGCTGCCGCCAGGCCTGGATGCAGCGTCGGCTGCAGGAGAGTCTGCGGCGGGGGGCGGAGAGCCAGGCGCGCCCAGCAGCCAGGGTGGCAGCGGCCAGTGGTCTCATCCTGAGGTGCTGGCGGAGGCACGCATGCGCCTGGTGGCAGGTGCGCCGCACTCGTGTATGGTGCTGCATCTGTGATCTGGGAAGCTCTCGAGGTCTCCTGCACTCTCACACACTCTCATACTCGCAAACCACCCGACCTCCGCAAAGCACCGCCGATTCCCGCCCGGATCCCTGCAGGCCTCAAGCGCTACTTCCACGCCAAGCGAGGCGAGGGCCTGCTGTCGGCCCAGGGCCTGAGGATCCTGGACTATGCCTGCGACAGGGCCATCGATCAGGCGCAGGCGCCCCTGGTGAGCTCCAGCCACACTCTTCGCGCCTGCACTGCACTATGCAGGACAGGGCAGGATCAGCCTTGAGGGCTCGATGTTATTGAATAGACGGGGCAGGCGATGTGCCCTCAACCTTGCTCCAGTTTCGTTATCCATTAATGCTCAGCATTCCTGCATGGAGCCACCTCCCCATCCTGCAGGGCATCTGGTCGGTGGCGGAAGGGGAGGCGGTGGGCAAGTACTTAGTCCGGGCGCTGGCCTGGCTGTTCTTCCGGGCCAAGCGCCTCACCGGCCGCCTGCCCCGCTGGCTGCGCTTCCTGCTCATGCCGCCGCTGCGCTGGTTCTCAGGTGCATACAGCCGGCACTGGGATGCAGCTACTACTGCTTGATTGGGCTGCCTGCTTGCTTTAAGGCTTGGTAGACTGCTTGTCGCGGGTGCTCACAGGTAGCCCCTGGCGCCGCCCGCGAGCTGCCGCAGGGCTGATCGGCTGCGTGCTGTCTGTGACGATGCTGGTGGCGTGCGAGGTGGCTGTGGAGTATTGGATGGCGCTGACGTGGAGCCCGCAGGCATGCGGCAGCTCAGCTCAGGGAGCAGCCGCAGCTCAGCGCAGCGGGTAGTCACACCTGAGGACTGGCTGGCTTGGACCAGGTCTGCACATGCATGAGGATGGCGCGAGCATGCTCCTTCCTGCGCTGCAGGCACAGTGGCTGCGAGAGTCGGAGAAGGCGGGGGAGCTGCAGGTGGGAGCACGACACCAAACTGGAAGCATGTTTCAGCGCACCGCGCCCGCTCCTCTCCCGCTTGCCTCCCTGGGTTGCTGCCACCCCTGGCTGGCCCTCACTGCTGCCAGCCCCTGCCTGGCCCCACAGGCGGAGATCGCGGAGGAGAGCGCTCGAGTCTGCAAGTTCATAATCGACCGGGAGATCGAGGCGCCGGAGCGCTTCCAGGCCATCCAGAGCTACAGGTCAGCACCGCCCCTGCCCTGTAGGTTCCGCAGCGCTGGCCCCAGGCACTTTTCCAACGCAGCCTTGCCGCAAGCCTTGCCTGAGCCTGCCTTGCTATTGACGCCTGCCACCATCCCGCGCCCTGCCGCCTTGCCTGCAGGGCTGCCATGGCCATCCTGCGGCAGCAGTCTGCCTTTGTTGACGAGCTCTACGCCTCCGGGATCGTGAATGACTCTGAGCGCCAGGTCATGCAGGCGTGTGCAAGTGGCATGGAGACCAGACCAGCCCGGCCCTGGCCGTCCGCCCAGCCACACATGTTGGTGCGCATGGTGCCCATCAACACGGATACTGCTCACGCTGCCGCTGCGTCCCTGCTGCGCAGGAGCCGGTGCAGCGGCGCGGGCGCCAGCTGGAGATCCAGGGCCCGGTGTGGCGAGCCCCGTCGGGTCAGTGGCATGGCAGCCGCCCCTTGGTGCGGGTGTCGCATGCAAGCAGGCACATCGTTGCAACTGCTGCCAGCAGTGTGGAGCAGTGCCGAGTTTCGACGCGCGCATCTCGCCCCTCCCCACCACCTGCAGTGCGAGAGGTGCTGCGCGGCCTGCCCTTCCTGCACCACGTGCCCGACCCCATGTTTGACTGGCTGCTGGAGCGGGGCCAGCTGCTGGGTGAGGACCCTTCGAGTTGGGAGTTGGGAGTTGAGATGTGCTGTCACAATCTATCACGGCGGCCTGTCCCTTTCTTCTCGCCCTGTCCTGAACACGTGACAAGTCCCTCGGCCCCGTGTGCTGTGCCTGGTTTTAGCAAGTGCCTGATATCTCGCCCTTTCCACCGCTGCAGAGTACACCCGCGGCGAAGTCATCCGCTCCCCCGCCCCGCACCTAGGCGCCGCCATGGACTCGGGCCTGTACATCGTGGTGTATGGCCTGGTGCGCAGCAGCTTCACAGGTGGGTGCGCAGTACCGCATCAGTGACGGCGACAGCTGTTGCCGCTGCTTGCGGTGGCCCTCCCTGGCTGCCGTGCTTGGCTACAAACCCGCGCCGCCAGCGGCGATCCTCCTCCCCCCTTGCAGACCACCGCGGCGCCTGCCACGAGTACTTCCTTGGCAGCGGCGGCGTGCTGGGCCTGCTGGGCGCGCTGACGGGGCAGGCGATGCGCGGCTCTGGGCCCGCGGTGGCCGAGGCCAATGCTCTGCACAAGGGGCCCGTCATCTTCCACATCCCACAGGCAAGGCTGGAGTCGGCAAGCCCATGGCACGAGGGAGTTCAAATTTAGCGCTGCCTCGGGGACCAGGGTGCTGCTTGGCATTGCGAAGAGCCTGGAGCTGCCCGCCGGCAACACCGTGCCCGCTCCCCTCCTCCTCCTTCCGCCTCCACCTCCGACTGCGCCCGGCCGCCGCAGGGCGTCATCAAGCGCATCCGCCAGCGCGGAGCGGCAGGCGACCACGACTTTGCTCAGCTGGAGCTGGATCTGTTCAGGTGAAGGGCCTGCTGCTGCTCGGCCTCGGTTGTGGTGTCGCACAGCGGCTTTTGCATGCTGGTTTTGAAAACCGTCGCATCTTGTGCCGTGGTGCCCTGGACCGGCGCTGGTGCTGCCATGCTTGGCCAAGGGTAAGGTGATGGAATGTGGGGCGCTCTCAGCGTGCACACCACGGCTCTGCCGCCGCCTGATGCCTGTGGCAGGGTGGCTGGCCTGTACATTGTGGAGCGGCTGAAGGGCGAGGTGGTGGCCGCAGTTGCAGCCAGGTTCCAGCGCCAGGCGATCGACCGCGCCCGGCGGCGGGCCATCCACAAGGCCGCGGCAGCAGCTGCTGCGGCCAGCAACGGCGTGACCGCAGAGCGCGAGCGGGAAGTGCCGCAGCAGGAGGCCGGCGGCGCGGCAGGGGAGGCGCCGGCAGCAGGAGCCGAGGGGGCGCGGCAGGGGAGCCTGCGCCAGCGTGTGCATTGGGACTCCTCTCTTGGAGAGGAGCAGGTGGGAGTACAGGCGCCTGCGTGCACACCCTAAGAATCCCATACTGTCCGGCAGCACGCAAGGTGCAGGCAGCCTGCTTCTCAGCACGCATCCACCCCGCAGCTGCTGCCGGCGCCGCGTGCAACCCACCCTGCCGCACTGGGCCCCTCCCCTCAGCAGGCCTCTCCAGTGCAGCCCAGGGGCGGCGCTGCCGCTGCCGCAGCCGCAGCTGGCCCCCGGCCCTTTGTGCCGCTGTCAGACGCAGAGGTGCTGGCTGGAGTGGACCGCCGCAGGCTGTGGCACAACGCCCAGGCCTTTGCCCGAGGCATCCTTGCTGACATCAGGTGGGAGGCGGCTGCTGCTGGCGCCACGCACCCTGCTGGGGTGTGTGGCTGGAGGGCGCCGTGCGCCTCGCCCCCGCCTGGGCCGCCGAGCTCCTCAATGGCGCCGCCCACGCCTCACAAGCCCCACCCGCCGATCAAGCCGCACCCCTGCGCACACCTCCCTCCCACACTTCTGGCGGCGGCTGCCACGCTGGATGTGCAGGCACCACCTGCGGGATGCAGAGCTGCTTCGCCTGGGCCCCAAGCAGGCGTGGCGCCAGCGCAGCCACATGCTGCTGGTGCATGGCAGCCTGCACAGCGGCGGGGTGGCTGCCGAGCAGCAGGCAGGCGTGCTGGCGCCTGCGGTGCTGCCCTGGCTGGCGGCCCACCTGCAGTGCGACGCCGGCGCGCTGCCTGGCAGCCCGCGCGCGGCGGCGCCTGCCCAGCGGCTGGTAGCAGGTCCCGACGGTGCGCTGCTGCTGGCGTGCCCAGAGGAGCGCGGCACCCCGCTCACGCCCAGCAGCAGCGCTGGCAGCACCCCGGATTTCGGCAGCCCCTTTGCTGGCGCTGCAGGGTGGCCCGGCAGCCAGCAGCCGCAGCAGCAGGAGGGGGTGGAGCTGCAGGCCGGCAGCACCGAGCAGGGAGGCGACCAGCGGCTGCAGCAGGAGCAGCAGGAGCACTTGGAACCAGCGGGCAGGCCGCTGCGCCGAGTGAAGAGCCGCAGGCAAGTGGCAGCCAGCGACAGTGCGGGAGGCCATGCGCACACCAGCCTCGGCTGCTGGCCTGCTGATGCCTGTACTGTTTGCCAGTCTCCTGTGCAGGCTGCCGCTGAGCACCGCGCATGGCCTTGGCACCCAGTTCTCGGTTGGTCGTCCTTGACAGGGGTTCAGAAGGGATGTTGGTATGTTCATGTTCACGCGGCTCGGGGCCAATAGCATAAGAAAGAATTACGCGGGCAGGAAGGAAGAACTAGGCAAAATTTGTTACGTGACGTCTGTAAGAATGGTTAGGGACGGGGCTAAACAGGGCATGCAGTAGCACTAGGGAACAAGAGGGGAGTCGGGACTCAGGATCAAGAGAAGCATAGCACATTCATAGCAAAGCAGAAGAGAGAGGGTACCCGGGGGTGCATCAGGCGGTGCTGCTGCAGCGCCGCGATAAATCCATAAAACCGGAGCATATAATGAAAATGTCTTGGGGGGAGGCGTCGTGGCACCAAATCAATCGCACTCGTTTGCGCTGGAAAAGGGTGAATGGGTGAGATGACAGGGGGCGCTCACGGCACATGACGCGTTGGAAGGCAGCAGTCGGGCAGGGCACACGCGGGCAGGCCGCCCTCACAGATGTGCCGTTTGGGTGCTACTGAAAAATTCCGTCCGTCGGGTATTGTGCCTGGGTCGGCTGCATTGGGGCGCCTGGGTCTTGAGTTTGATGTCCGGTAGAAGGGCTTGTTGGGGCATGCGTTTCAATCCTTGAGGCCTCTCAAGGCCTTCAGGCCACCTCACAACAGGCCCAGCCTGCGCTTCAGGCGCAGACCTGCACATAGGGGCCACCAAACCCAAGGGCGCAGCAAGAGTGAGGGGCGCATGGCAGCGCAGCTGGGCATACACCTGACAGTGGCAAAGGCCAATCAGCCATGCGCAGGAAAGCCACTGACCGTCGGCATTGCAGTATGTGAGGCCGTTGACGGAGCGCCACATGGGAGTGACAGCTGCAAGAGCAGAGGAGCAGCCGGCAGGTTGAGGCAGCACGCCTGCAGGCGCTGCGCCTGCTCCCCTGCCAACAGCAGCGGGGCAATGAGAGGCAGGCGGCACCCACGACGGGTTCGCAGCGGGCCACAGCCGGCACGCACAGCACCCAGCTGACTCACTGGTGCCGCACTGCACGCAAAACTTGGCAGCCGTGGGCCCGGCGGCGGTGGCAGCCGCCAGGAAGGGCGGCAGCGCGCTGCTGTCCAGCACTGCGGCCAGCTGGTCGGGCGCCGGCGCCGCCACGGCGTCAAGCGCCGGCGGCTGCACCAGCGAGTGCGCCGCAGCGGCACGCTGCGGCCGCGCCTGGCGCGGCACAGCGGGCGGCGAGGCCGAGCCGCGGCGCTCCTTGGGCCGGCTCTCCACCTCCAGGTCGTCTGCCGAGCCCACTGACGCCTCGGAGCCTGTGTCCAGTGCCGACCGGTGCGGCTGCGCCGCCTTTCTCTTGTGCTTCCTGCAGCGGGGCGCGCAGGCCGGCGCGTTGCGTGTTCAGCGGGGCGTGACCAAGCGCTGCAGCTGGCTACAGCCAGGCGCCCCGAAACAGGCCTCTCGGGGGAGTCACCTCAAGGGCGATGCAGCGCGTTGCCCAGCCACCACCGGAATTACACCCGTCGCCACGGTTTCAATCTGAGGCGGCGAGCTGGCGTCGAGCAGAGCCAGCAGAAACGACATTTTGGGGAATGGTCGGTTTGGCGGCGGTGTGAAACATAAAGCGGCGGGCTGCAATCGGCGGCCAGGCTGATCGGCCGCAGGCGATGGGTGTGATTTAGGAATAGATGGGTGTCAATTCTAATGCATGCAGTGGCGGCTATCTAGGACCCGCAGCACGCTAGCACGCCCCCGCTCTTGCGCCTCCTCCCCCAGGAGCCCTTGCATGCCCAGGGCTGCATCGGGGATCATCCCGGCCACTGCAGAACGCCGCAAGCCCGCCCCGCCGCCGCTGCCTAGTCAACGGCCGTCGCCGGCGCCCTGGGCGCCCTGGGAAGCCGTTGGAGCCAGTTGACGGTCGCTTCCACTGCTTGCGGCCAGTGCTACACCAGCAGCAGGCACTAGTGTCCACTGCAACGCGGCCTGGCCCGACTTGCGCCACGAGGCAGGCGGTGAATCGCACTGCACCCCTCCTGCTGGTGTGCAGCATCCCCACCAGAAACGCTGGCCAGGAATGGTCAGCGCGCACTACGAGAACACAATCCAGAGTCACAGCAACACCTCTTGACTTCGATGTCACAACCGGCGCGGCAGCGGCGGCAGCAGGCGGTTGCGGCGGCAGCCATCACCCGCCCCGCCGTTCCCTCAGCACAGCGTGCGCATTGCTTTTCCAATCGCACTGCCCACTTCACAACTAGGCCTCGTCCTCAGCAATCCAGCGGTTGCATGTGCAGGGGCGGCCATGGCAGCGGACATGGAGGGTAGGTCAACGGCCTGGGCTAGCAGTTTACACGCTGCCCAGCCTTTCCCTGGGCGATCAGGCAGCACCTGTGCGATCAGGCAAGCCCCATCGCGACCTCCTCCTCCCTTAAACCACGTGTTGGCCTGCCAGGCGCCCCCGTCAGCAGCGATGCCACAAAGTGGCGGCTGATGCTCCTGCAGGGCCATCGGTGAGTGCCTGCAGCACCACTACCAGGGCCGCTCCTCTTTGCTGCCACCGGCTCTCGCTCCGCCGCAGGTCTTTGCACGGGGGTTGGACCCAACCTCAAACTCGCTGCCAGTGCTCACCGATCGAAAAACGCACCACCACGGCAATGCGGTGCTCGCTCGCGCTGTGCGCCCTCCTGGCCGTGGCGGCGGGCACCATGCCTGGCGCGGCGGTGGCAGGGCGCGCCCTCCCCTCTGAGGCAACTCTGCTGGCTGGCGGCAAGCCCTGGGAGAAGAAGCCTGCCACCTACAACAAGCCGTTGATCGGCATTCTAGCGCAGGTGGGTGGCGCAGGTTGGAGGCAGCCTGCAAGGGGTTGCCGCCACTAGGGCACCCGCGCGCGCCACGCCCTCTGCCGCCAGCCACCCCCAACCACAGGCAGCAGCTTGGCTAGCACAGTCGCTGCAGGCGCTTTGACCGGTGGTCAGCCATCACCGCTCCACTACCACCCTTGCGTCGCCACACCCACCTGCTGCGCCCACCGCCTGCCAACCTGTGGCGCAGGCCTGCCATTACTGCCCCGGCCGTAGCTATGTGGCTGCTGGCTTTGTCAAGTGGATTGAGGCTGCAGGCGCCCGCGCCGTGCCCATCCGGTGCGCCGCCTGCAGCGCTGCGTGCCTGGCACCTGGGGCCGCCGCTTAGCAGCCATCCCGCCTGTCACTCAGCCCCCGCCTGAGTTGTTTTTGCTTCCAGTCACTGCGCATGCGCAGTGACGCGCTGCGCCCACCTCCCAGCCCTGGCTCCTGGCGCTGCTGACCCTGCCTTGCCCGTACCTCACCATTACCGCACCTGGACCTCACCTGTACCGCACCCGTACCGCACCGCAGGTTCTACAACTCCGAGCAGGAGCTGCACCGCATCTTCAAGTCGGTCAACGGCATCATCTTTCCGGGGGGGCTTACGGACCTGTGGCAGGACTCGCCCTACGTGAGCAGCCTGCTGCTGGAGGGGAGCCTGGGGAGGACCCTCCGCGCAGATCTGCTGGCTGCCGCAGAGCCGCAAAGGCTGCCCGGCGCCCGGCGCCATGCCAGAGGCCTGCCGCTGGTGCTGCCCACGCCTTTTGCTCTGGTGCCTTGTCCCGCCGCACGCCAGGGTGAGGGTGGAGGTCCAACAGCGCCTGCGGCGCTCCTTTCTGCTGCAGGTGATCGCTGCGCGCAAGCTGTGGCAGTGGGCCAAGGATGCCAACGATGCGGGTGCGTGGGGGCAGGATGGGAGGGGCGGCGGGGAGGGGCAGAGGAGGCACGGAATGGGGAGAACGCCTGGTTGCCTACCCGCTTCTTCACTCTCGCTGTATTATGCTCCACCCCACCCCACGCACCCCGCCATCCCTACACCCCACCCCCCCTGCATGCAGGCGACGTGTTCCCCATCCACGGCACCTGCCTGGGCTTCCAGCTGCTGCACATCCTGGAGGCGAATGTGTCGTTCACTCAGCTGCTGGTGGACACAGACTCGGGTGGGCTGGCCAGCGCGTGGAGTGGGTGTGTGCGGTGGGCGGGGCGGTGGGAGCCAGCAGAAGCGCATGCGCGGCGGAGCCGCTCGCTCAGCCCGCCACGCGTTGCCTGCGTTGGAGGCGAAGCCGTGCCTGCCAGCCCCGCCCTGCCCTGCCCTGCCTTACCCTCCTCGCCAGCCCTGCCCTGGTGTGCCCTGCCTGCCTGCCCGCCCGGTTTCTTCACCACCCGCAGTGGCCCACCCATACACTCTGGACTTCACTGACGCCGTCAAGGAGTCAACCATGTTTGGAGGCCTGGCCGACGTGAGCCGCCCTCTGGCCTGCATGGACCGCTGCTTGTCGCCTTTGCCGGGCTGCCCCGCCGGCTTGCGGGGTGGCTCCATTCATCGACGGCGGCGGCGGGGGCTTGCAGGGGGTGCTGCGCATGCCTTGCGCGCCCCGGTTCCCTACCCATTCATCCCCGTCCCAACACAACCTGCGCCGGGCCCCTCCCGCTGCAGGACCTGATTGAGAAGCTGGGGGATTCGCAGTACAACATCTCCATGGTGGGTATCAACCGTACTGGACCCGTGTGCTATCGTGAGCTTTGGCTCCCCACCGGCCTTCCCTTCTCCTAGCCCACTCCTCTTTGCCCACCGCCTTTCACCCTGCCTGCCCTCCATTCTCCCCTCCCCTCTCCTTTCCCACGCCGCTGTTCCCGCCATGCCGCCTGCCCACCCCATCCAACCTCTCCCACCCACCCACCTCCTGCTGCTGCACACACACTCGCTGCCCCGCAGGAGAACCACATGTTTGGGCTGCCCCCCGCCCACTATGACAAGTGGCCGCTGCTGCGCCAGAACTTCAACATGGTGTCGACCAGCAAGGACCGCAACGGCGTGGAGTATGTGTCCTCCGCAGAGCACAAGCACTACCCCTTCTTCGCCACGCAGGTGCGCCCGCGGCTGCGGGCGGGTGGCGGGGCGCGGCGCGGGGTGGGGTGGCGTCGTGCGTGGTGGTGTGCTGCATGGGAACAGGGGCAAAGGGAAGGGAAGGACATGGGCAGCGCAGCGCGCACGGGGCTCCGCGCTGTGCTCTGCTGAACCCTGCCCCCCCGGGCCGTCTGCCCCCTGCAGTGGCACCCCGAGAAGCCGCCATTTGAGTTTGGCATGCACGAGATCCCTCACACCCTGGACGCAATCCTCGTCTCCCAGCACCTGGCCAACTCGTTTGTGGACACGGCCCGCCGCTCCTCTCACCGCCCCGAGTCCCCCGAGCAGGTGCGGGGCGGTCGTGGTGGTCGGTGGTGCTGTGGTGCTGCCAGCACCGCCGGCCGCTGTCCTCGCCTGCCCCTTCCTCCCGGCCGCTCCCCACACCCACCTGCTGCCTAGCTGTGTGCTGCGTGAGCGCAAGTCCCTGCTGACCTGTCATGCCTTCTTTCTTTCGTTCCTGGCAGGAGCTGGAGCTGATGATTTACAACTGGAAGCCCTACTTCACCCTCAAGGTGGGCCTCTCACTCACAGCCAGGGCCAATCAACTGGCCGCGGGCCCGCTTTCGGCTGCCATCACCAGCGGACGGTGCCGCGCTGCCCATCTCTCTGGAGCTCTCCCCCTGAGGCTCGCTCCAAGTTGCGTGTGCATGCAGCCTTCTCCCGTCACCCCACGTCGAATGCCGCTGCTGCCTGCTGCTGCCTGCAGGACTCTGTGATGGACCCCTCCTATGACGGCCCCGACATGTGGTGAGTGGGCTGGCTGGCTGGCTGGATGGATGGACGGATGGGTGGCAGAGGGGGATCCAGAAACGCGCAGTTGTGAAGGCCTCGCTTTCAGGCCATGCATGCTTGTACGTCTGCCTCCCGCCTTCTGCAAGCGTTCCTCCACTTCACCCCCTGCCCTCTCCCACCTTTTGCCATCTGGCCCGCAGCTATTTCTTCGATCGCCCCGACGATGAGGCGCCTGAGAACAGCCTGACCGGCCGCTCCGCCGCCGTCAAGTCCTTTGCTGGCCACCTGTCGGCGGCAGGCCAGCCCAAGGGCGAGCCCACGCTGCAGCTGGCCATGGCCTGAAGGCGCTGAGTGCCTGGACGCACTGGTCAGCATCAGCAGCCACGCTAGGGCGCTGCCCACCCGCTGCCCTGCCGTGGTGCGGGCGTCTGCTGCACCAGCACCGGCAGACGAATCGGCTGGCTGTCACGACAGACGGACCCATGCGGCTGCCAAGAGTCTCTCTGCACCAGCAGGCAAGGCGGCGTGGGAGCCGGTGTGGCAGCCGCCAATTGGCGCTGCAGGCTGCCCCGTCCCCCCCTGCCTGATGTGCTGAACGTTCTTTCTCAGCATCCTTATTCTATAACTTCTTATCTGTTTCTCACCCACCCAGTCGTCCACCACACTTTCGAGCTGGCTCGATAGGGGTGGGCGGGACCTTCAGTGCCGGCTTGGCTCTGCCACTACCCGCCCTGCCCCTCTTTTGGAGACCAACCAATACACCGCTGTCCACAAGCGTGTCTCTCATTTCTGTGTGTGTGGCATGTAATTCGATTGGACATCAACTCCTTGTGGCAGGTGAGCCGGTCCTCTCCGGAGCCGTTCCTCTCCGGCGCCAGCAGGCGGTGGCGGCGACGGCGGTGTTGGCCCAGATCAAGCAGCATCCCATGGGACTCGCATGTCCTCATGGCACCACTCAACCATGCCGTGGCAGGCTGAGTGTGCTTCAACGCGCTACACCAGAGATCTGATCGCCACGTGGCACGCGTTGCCGAGCGTCCGTCGCAGAAGCGTGTTGCAACTGCATCATTATCATCATCTCTTCCATCAGCCTGCCGTCGAGGGGCTCTCACATTCCTGGAGCCCGTCCCCGGCCTTGCGCCGGCCTCTTTGCTGCACCGGCGCTAGATTCTCCATGCTTTGACTGCTCGGGGGCTCGGCGCAGCTTTCGAAGGTCCTAAAAGGCTCGTGCAAGGCCCGGGGAGACCCCCTCTCACCAAGCGGCCAAAGGATCTTCAGATTGGAGGTGCGCATGGGCCCGCCTCGAAGCCTGCGCGCATTCTCATGACACCCTGACGCCTCACTGAGACTCGCCGCCGCATGTATTGCTCGCAGGCTGCCGCCAGCGCATCCGCAGATGGCGGCGCTCGCGAGCGGCCGGGCCGCTGGCGGCAGGTTGCTGGCACTGGAATCCTCCGACCGCATGCCGCTGGTGTGCGGACTGTTGATGGCGGCCCTTCTATACATGCCCTGCCTGGCAGCCGGCCAGCTGGACGACAGCTACAGCGGCGCCGGGCAGGCGCCGGCAACGCAGACCTCTGCCGCCGCCGCTGGCGCCGGCACCGAGCCGCTGTGGCAGCGCTACGAAGCCATGTTTCCAGTGCCCCGCATGGTGCCTGTGGTGACGCGCATGATGGGGCACGAGGTGCTGTATCAGGTCCCCGACAGCCCTCGTGCCACCCTCTTCATCGCGCCAGGCTGCTCCCACGCCGCGCACGACTGGTGGCCCGCCTCGCCCGCCTGCCCCGACTGCCTGGGCCTGCCAGAGGAGCTGGCGCACACGCAGCAGGCGCTGGGGCGGCGCTACGCAGGCGAGTGAGCGGGGCCAGAAAGCAGCGCTGCGCGTGCTGCCGCGCCCCCAACCACCACGCCTGCCCCGAGCCTCCTGCTCCTCAGCCCCGGCCCGCCTACTCCCCCGCCCTCCTCCCACCGTGCCGCAGTCATCTCCATGTCCTCCAAGAACGCCCACGGCGACATGTGCATGGACTGGCCCTCCAACCACAAGGACGCCGCCGCCATCCTTGGCAGCTTCCTGGACCAGCAGCGCCTGCGCCACCTGCCGCTCTACGCCCTGGGCGTGTCGGTGGGCGGCGGCTTTGTCGCTAAGCTGGCAGCGCACATCAAGGTGGGCCGAGGCGCTGCGCTGGCGCCGGCACCCGGCGGTCGCCTGGTCGCGCAGCCTGGGCACCCCGCTCTGCTGGAAGCTGGACGGCTGGCGGTGCCACGCCTCAAGGGGATTATGGCAGCCTGGCCAGGCCCCCCGGGCAGGTGCTGGTGGTTCCTGCGCATGCGAGCATGCAGCGCTCCGCATGCTGCAGCAACCCAACCCGCATACGCTGCTGCTGCCGCCGCTGCCGCAGATGGATGGTGTTGTGTCGGAGGTGCTGGGCCCTAAGCCTGTCCAGTGGGACCTGGACGTATACCAGTATGGTGGGTTGCAGGGGAGAGGGGCAGGGGAGGCAGCCAGGCAGGCAGGGAGGCAGGGAGGGCGGCATGGCAGCAGCGCAGGGCGAGGCGAGGCGAGGCAGCATGTCTGCAAGGCTTGGCGGGACAGGTGCCGACATCAATGCACTCCGCAGCCCTCCCACCACACCGCTGCTGCGCGAGGCAAACACGGGCTTACTGTACCTGCTGCAGCACTCCTCACTGACCAACCCCTGCATGCGCCGCCCTGCAGGCCTGCCTCCCATCGTGTTTGTGTCGATGGATCAGGACCCTCCCATGGCGGCCCGCATCAGCGCCTGCTCCGCGCGCCTGCGCCAGCGGGGCGGCCTCACCGCCACCGTGCGCGTCGCCCCGCGCGTCGTCTACCCAACCTTTTTCTCCGACAGAAGGTGCGCCCGCCTGTGCTTGCACAGCTGGCAGCTTGCCCAACCCAACCCGGCGGGCTGGGAATTGGTGGCCGGTGCTGGCGGCTGCCTGCCGTCCCGGCGCCCCACATGCATCGCCCTGGCGCCAGCGCCAGCCGTAGCCTCCCCAGCGGCCAGCCCTCCCTCTCCCCAGCCCTCCAAGCCTCTCACCCCCACCCATCCACTCACCCACCCAACCCACCTCCTCCTCCCCGCACCGCAGCTCCCGCCTGTCTCCCGAGGTCAGCGCCAAGGTGGTGGCGGCGCTGCACGAGATCGACATGCTGGATGAGAGGGGCATGGTCACTGTGGACCCAAGGTGTGGAAACGCCTGCAGGAACCTGCCTGGCACTTACCTGCCCCGCCCATCTACCGGCCTGGCCACCGTCCTGCCTGCTTGCCAGCCTGCCCGCCTGCCTGCACGCCTGCCTGCCTTGGCCGCCAGCCGGTCTCCCAGCCCGCCTTGCCCGCTCGCCAGCACACATGGCCAGATGCCTGCACACCTGTTGCAGCCTGTGCGTGCCCACTGCCTCACTCCCCGCCCTTCCGAATCTTTGCCGCCACGTGCTGTAGGCACACCAGGCGGCCGTGGGTCAAGCAGCTAGTGGAGCTCGTGCCGGAGCTGAATGGCGGCATGATGGCAGACCACAGTCAGGTGGGCGTGCCTGCGCAGGCGCCGGCGGGCCACCCTGCTGTGCCCCCGGCTGGCTCCTGCCGTCGCCCTGCACCGATGGCCCTGCCGGCGTGGAGTGTTGCGGCGGGAAGCGATTCCCTCCCCGTGCCGGACGCGCCAGTGCTGTGCTGAGCGCCATGCCCGCAGGCGCATGTGTATTTATGTGTGTGGGCCGACTGTGGTGTGCGTGTGGTCTGTGTGTATACCACATGTGTGCAGGTGTGGGAGGAGATGAACCTGGCCTGGAGCTCCCACGAAATCATCTCCGACTTTGCCACGCCCGCCTTTGTGTGGTTTGAGGGCGGGTGAGCCCCGAGGCCACTGGCCTCTGCATTTGGGCCTGCCGCGCCGGCATGCGGCAGGGTGGCTGGGCAGCGGCGGCGCCGGCGGCCTGCGTCTGATGCGTGTGTGCCCACGTGCCCGCTCGTCTCCTGCAGGGCCACCGCCGACTTTGCAGAGCTTGTCGAGCGGTATGCGGCCCCCGGGCACATGGGGGTGGTGGGAGACGCCGCAGACGCCATCCCGCCACCCGCTGCCCCGATCGAGGCAGCGGCAGCGGCCTCCATGCCGTCAGCGGTGCAGCATGTGTACGAGGCGCACGAGGCGAGGGTGGAGGCTGCCGAGGCCCAGGCAGCAGCAGCAGCAGCAGCAGCCCGGGTCCACCTGCCAGCGGGGATCCAGAAAGAGCAAAGTGCGGTGGTGGCGGCGGCAGCAGGCATCCAGCGTGGCAGTGGCGACCCGACGCAGCAAGCCTCTGCGGTGCGCGAGCTCGGGGCAAACGGGCAGCAGCGGCCGCAGCTGCGGCCAGGCCTGGCCCAGCAGCAGCAGCAGCAGCAGCAGCAGCCAGCGGGCACGCTCGTGCTGCCCGATCAGCAGGCGGCGGGGCAGCGCGAGCAGGCCAGCAGTGGCATCTCTGCTGCCTCTGTTGCAGCCGGGCAGCCTCTGGCGGCGGCCAGCTCGGCGGCAGCCGCCACCATGCAGCAGGGACAGGAGGCAGATGCAGGAGAGGCTTCCCCAGAGGCGGGCGCAGCCGGCGGCCCCAGCCCAGCGGCGATCCTGGGAGGCGTCGGCGGGGCGGCGGCGGGGGTGGCGCTGCTGCTCGGCATCTATCAGCTGGCGCGGCGCACGGACGGGTTCCAAGCGCTTCCCGTCACGGAGCCGCGGGCCCCCGGCGGCTGCCTGCTGGCGCCGGCTGAGCCGCTGCCACTCTCCACCCGCCTGCCACCCATCCCTGAGCTTCCCGAGTCTCCCGCCGCTTTGGCTTAGCTCCTGCCAGCTCTGGCCCATCAGCCTGGGCGGCGGTTTACATGTTAATGAAACGTCTACCCCCACACTTCTACACGTCCCAGAATCCAGTTTTTCAGCAGCCCGGCGCCTGGCGCTGATACCGACCGCACCGCTGAAGGTACTCGGCAATGTACTGATTCTTTCAATGCCTCATTCTCCCTACTCCCCAATCCAACACTTCTTCACCAACCATTCATTTCTTCCGGCAATCCCGCTGCGCTCTATTGCTGCTCTCATGTCAGTCCTGCTGGATTGCCCCCGCTGCCTGATGCTATGACTGTTTCTGGTAATGAAATTTGCAATCAAATAACTGAACCCAAGTACTTTGAGAAAGCATGAGTTGCAAGTTGCATTTGTGGTGGCGGAGGCAGCATCACAGCGCCGCCGCCCTACAACCCTTGAGTTGCCGTGGGAGCGCGCTGCCGTGGGGGAGGGAACTCTACCAGGCGCACGTAGGGCGCGGTCTATTGCAGGTTTGGTGGTACATCAGCCGATTGTCTCTGGGGGCATGCCGCGCGGCTTACAAGGCGGCCGTGCACCGAAGGCGGCGGCGCTGACGTGGCCCAGGTGGCGGCAGAGCTGGCGCCTGCCAAGAGATAGACCTCCCTGCTAAACGCAGCGACATACCCACTAATTCCCAGTGCGCACCAAGGTGTTTGGGAGGTCCATCTCTGCCCCAGCTGCCAGTGACTCAACGCGCACCCCTGTGCGAACAGCCCGGCTGCTCGTGGGAGCCCGGCGGAGTGTCCAGCAACCTTCACGGGCATATTGGCACCGGCCGGTCCTCGCCAACGGCCCCAGCTCCGGCAGGCACCCTGCCAACCACCTGCCGGGATGCGGGCAATCTGCGCCGCGCAGGTGCTTCTTCGCAACTACCTAATCCAGTAGTGCAACGTATTTGCAGGCCGCACGCCGGTGGCGCTGCACTGCGCTTGTGCTTGCCACCCTCCGCGCCGGCCCTCACCTTCCCCGCCCCCTCACTGCTGCAGACCGCCACGCGGCTGGCAGCTCTGGTGCTGGTGTTGTCCTTAGGCATTTCATGCCACGCAGCAGTAGGAGATGGTGGGTGACCTTGAGCTGGCCAGAGCGCTGTTGCCGCTCCAGCGCTCGTCTCTGCCGCAACCCGCAGCATCGACGCGCAAGCCCCACCCTTTCTTGCTGCCATTCGCACACCGATGCTGCTGTTAACCGCTGAGCGCCGCCCCCGCCCTTACTTGATCACAGACGTGTTTGCATGGCCCAACGTGGATTGGTCTGACCTGAAGCCATACCAGGACTTCAAGCATAAGCACGAGTTTTTCTACCAGGTGCAGCGGGGGACTGCAGAGAGCCTGGCATGAGAAAGGGGCGGGTGCCGCCAAGTGAGCGGGGCCCTGGGCCAGGAGGCCGGCGGGCCCACCACCTCTGGACTGCAGATCGCGGGCAGCCTCCTGCCACCATTACCCCATCAGTCCCCGCTCCCCCAGCCGCTCTGGACACCAGCTGATGGCCACAACTGCTTGGCCCCCCGCAGGTGCCGGAGAACCCGCGGGCCGTAGTGTTCCTGGCCCACGGCTGCGTGCACTCGGCGCACAACTACTGGCCGCAGAGCGAGGAGTGCCCCGAGTGCCGCGGCCTGCCCGAGGAGCTCTCGCACACGCTGCAGGCGCTCAAGCTGGGCTATGCAGGTGGGCCGCCGCTCCGCGCTGCCAGCGCATCCCAGCGGGCGCCGTGCACTGCTGGCGCCACCGCTGGCGGCACTGATGCTGCATGGCCGGCCCCGCCCTGCCCCGCGTCCACCGGCCGCCGCTGCTGACGCTGCTCGCAGTCATCGCCATCTCCTCGCTGGATCGGGAGACGGGCTGCTGGTCCTTCTGGGACGACTGCTTCGATGTGATTGACATCATTCAGGAGTGGCGCGAGGACTGGGGGTGAGCCCAGGGCTGGGGGGGGCCTTGCCGGCAGCAGCAGCCAGGGGTTGGGGAAGGAGGAAGCCAGAGGGGAGAGGGAGAGGCACCACCCCGGCACCACCCCGTCGGACCCTGCTCGAGCCTGAGCCTGCTGGTGGGTCGTGTTGCAGGCTGGACCACCTGCCGATCTATGGCTGCGGCATCTCCTCTGGAGGATCTTTTGTGCTCAAGCTGCCGCGTTACATGAAGGTGCACGGAGTGTGTGTGTGTGGTCTTTAGGTGTATGCGTGTGTTGATGTGGAGTGTGTTGTGGGGTGGATAGGTGGGTGGACGTGTTGGTGGGCAGCCACTGTGGATGCACTTTACGGCTGCTGGCAGGCGGCGCGAGCGGCGCCCAACAAGCGTTGCCTTCCCTTCAGCTGTCTGCGCCTCGTCCATCATCCCAGCTGGTCCTGCTGCCTGTCCTCACTGCCATCTTGTCTGCCTGCCCTGCCCACTGTGAAGTTTGATGGCCTGATGTCTGAGGCGCTGGGCATCGACCCGCTGTCGGGAGGCTTCAGGGATGTGCCGGGAGGTGCGTGGGCTGCTGGGGTGGTTGTGGCCGGGTGGGTGGCCTGGGTGGGGAGCAGCTTAGGGACGTCGGGCCTACCATGTCGCCTGCTAGGCCTCGCATGTAGCTGCCTCAGCAGACGTGCATCGGACATGCTCGTCCCTCATGCGCTATTTCCCCGTCCTCTGCCCGCCCTGCTCCTCGCAGTCTACCCGCCCACCGTGATTGTCAGCATGCAGCGCGACAAGAAGCAGCGGGAGCTGATCAACGAGAACCGGGAGATCCTGGAGGGGCGCAACACGCCTGTTGAGATCATCAAGGTGCCGCCGAGGGATGGTCGGAGGGCTGCCACGTGGCAGCGGGCAGCGGCAGGGTCGCAGCAGGGCCGCCAGCATGCTGCGCGGGCGCAGCCGGCTGGGATGGGCAGCGCATGGCGGTGGGAGGCCGCTGGCGGCGGCAGTGGTTGTGGCAGGGCTGTGCCTGACTGCAAGGCACTTTCTCTGCATGCCGCTGACGCCGGCTGTGTGTACCGCCGTGTGTACCGCCTGTACCGCAGTCGTACGCCCGCCAGGTCTACCCGACGTACTTCTCGGAGCGCTTCCCGCTGTACATCTCTGAGGGTGGGTGGGGCAGCGCGCACTGGCCTGGGGCAGCAGGCCAGCCTCGCAGGGGTGTGGCACTCGGGGCACCTGACAAGGGGAGGGGCTGGCTGCTCAGACATGTTGTCCCGGCATGTTGTCTAAACAGGCAGGCGTGTGAGAATTCTGGCACCGCCCTAAGCGCTGCGCACGCCAGAGATAGGTAAAGGTAAAGGTAAAGGTGGGGAAGAGCCTCCACAGGCTTAACTTCCCGGTTTTAACGTCTAGCTTTAGACCATTATTTGATCTGCCCGACGCGCCAAGTGCAGTACCCCCCACTAGTAGTGAATGGGTCCCGGGGAGGCCTGTGCCGAAGCCTTGGCGATTCTAATAGGCGTTCCCGAAGGAATTGGCTTGGATTGGCGCTGAGCCGGTCAGCTATGCCGCGTTTGTCCTCACAAAGTTTCGACATGGGAGGAATCGAACCTGTGCCCTCTCGGAGGGTTTAGACACTAGCTCCAGCGCCTTCAAAGAAGGCCTTTCTTAGCAGCTCTGAGCTGCGCTGCCTCCTGCTGCCCCGTGCTGCAGAGCTGAGCATCAAGATCAGGGACGGCCTGGAGGAGATTGCGATGATCGATGGGGATGGCAATGTGCTGGAGGACCCGCGGTGAGGGCCTGGGGCGGGCTGAGCACAAGGCAGACGGGCAGTGCACCAGGACAGCTGGCATGTCGTGCAGTGGAGCAGGAGCGACTGTGCCGGCAACCAGGCTGGGCCTGCTTCTGTGGTGGGCAGCTCCTGGAGGCCCCTGTGAGCACACACACACCGGCCTGGCTTAGGCCCCACCGCCCCGCTGCCACGCTGCCCATGCCGCTGCTGCTGCAGGTATACTTCCCGCCCCTGGCTCAAGGAGCTGCAGGAGGTGGTGCCTGAGGTGCAGGGCAAGACGGAGAGCTTCCAGGGGCGCACCGTGCCGCGCTTCCCCGAGATGTCTGAGGATGTGGCGCTGCCCGGGGTGCGCTCAGGCTCAGGCCCACGCACCGCTGCCCGCCGCCAGCTCACTGCCGCTGCCTGCTGCTGCCCCTTTCCCGCTCGGCCGCCGTGCCGGCGGCTGCTGGCAGCAGTTCCAGCGCTCGTCTTGCCGGGCTGGCTGCTGCTCAAGGCTAATCAGAGGGGTGAACACCTGTGCCCAGCATGCGGTGCCCGCTCAACTTCCGCTGCCCTCCTCCCGGCGCAAGTGTACGAGCTGATGAACCTGGCCTACAACTTGCACGAAATCATCTCCGACTACTTCACCCCAACCCTGATGTGGCTTGAGAAAGGGGGGGGGGGAGGGGGGGCCGGCCAAGGAGCAAGGCGGGGCGGCGGGGGCGTGGGCAGCATGCACTCCTCCTGATTCGACAGCTGCGAGGCAACACACGCCCTTCTGATGTGCTGATCGGACCGCCTCCTGCCGCTGCTGCCATACGCCGTGCTTTCCTCCTGCAGCCAGCGGGTGGAGATGCAGAGCCTGCTGGACCAGTACACGTGGGGCTGGCCGCCTTCCCCCTCCCCACCGCCTCCGCCCTCCCCCACGCCACCCTCTCCGAGCCCGCTGCCAAGCCCACGGCCGCCATCCCCTCGCCCACCCAACCCGCCGCGCCCGCCCCGCCCTCTCCCGCCCGCGCCGGCGCCCTCCCCAGAGTGAGTCTGAAACAGCGCAGGCTCCAGGGCCTGCCTAGCATGCCTGCTCACCTTCTGTCACCTCCACCTCATCCCTGTCATCCCCTCCCATTCACTGTGCTGGCTGGCAGGCCTGCGGAGCTAGAGGCCAAGGATGTAGCCCGCACCACCCCCCCTGCCACCCCTGACACCGCTGATGCCACCACCTCCAGCACCGGGGGCACGGGCTCCAGCCCAGATGCCGCCTCCTCGTCAGGCAGCGGCAGCAGCAACATGGTCGCCATCATCGGTCAGTGGCGAGGCTGGTGCCAGCAGTGCCAGCAGTAACAGATTGCTTCAGTGGCTCCTCAGCATGCGCAGGAAGGACTGCGGGCATTGGCCGCAGGGATAGGGGAGAAGGCTGGCCCCCCTCTGCCGACCACTGCTGCTGTCTTGTTGAATGTTTGCAGGGGGCGCCGTGGGCGGCGCGGTGGGCACTCTCATCCTGGTGGCCCTTGTCTGGTGGTGCATGCGGCGGCGGAAGATCGCCCGCGAGGCAGCCGTCATGATGCCATCCACAATGCATGCGGTGCACATCGCGCCTGGTGAGTGCGGGCAGGCGGGCACGGCGCTTGCATCTGTGCTGGGACGCCTGCGCAGCCAGGCTGTCGGCACGCTGCTTAGCTGCATGCACAGCCAGCCCACCGCCCCTGCTTCCCTGCCCCCTTGCGCCCGCCTGCAGCGGCTGGCGTGACCGCCCAGGTGTCGCTGGTGGGGCCCGGCCTCAAGGAGCGCTTCGAGCTGACCGAGGTGGTGGAGCAGACAGGTGGGGTGGCACGGGCGTGAATTCAGTTGGGAGGAATATAAGAAACGAGCAGGATGGCCTCCCCTGCATTGTATCCTGCCAAGGCAACACACACGAGGAGCGTGTGGTGCCAAGCTCTTGCTCTGCAGCGCTGACCCCGCCTGCTGACCCTGCCTGCGCCGCCGGCTGGCTGCCCTGCAGGCAGCCCCTCCAGCGCCCGCCGCAGGATGAGGACGGCGTTTCAGGGCAGCCCCCGCAAGGGCGCCAGCCCCCGCAAGAATGCCGGCAAGTGATCGGGGCCCGCACATGCGCGGCCAATGAGGCCCGCAAGGCCCACAAGTGCCTGCTTTTCAGGACATCCATACTACATAGTCAGTACGACTGCCACTCCCTCACCTGTCGAATCCCAAAAGCATCTACGCTCCCTCTTCAGTATGCACATTGTCCCCGATTGCTGCCGCTGTTGCCCGTCGAGAGGGACCGCCCAGCTGCCACGCTGAGGGTCTCTGAGCCCGCTTAAATTTCAGCCACCTCAGGCTAGCGCTACTTGCACTGTATCCCAGGCCAGGCCTCTGCTGTCGACATAGTGTCAGTTCTGCAAACATGTAAGAGCCCAGACTAAACTCACAAGCCACACATGGCGGAGCCATCCCACACCAACCCTATGGTTGGAGCTGTGCCACTGCTCATGCCTCTGGCTGGGCGAATGCTGGAACCCGCTCGCCCGTGCCGGCCTTGCCGCCAGAAGGAGCGACTCCCATGTCCACTTCGTCAGCCGTGGGCGAGGAGGCGCCGCCGCCCACGTCCATGCCCAGGGCTGTGTCTGCCCCGGTGGTGCCCGTGGTGTCCCCACCCAGGGCAGCCGCCTGGGCTGCCTGCAGGCGGAATCAGGCTAGCTTGAGTATGCTTCCCTGCTGCACGACAGAAGCAGAACCAGTGCCTGCGTTGCAGCCCCTCGTGGCGTCAGCACCTACCAGCACGGCGGGGGTCTGCGGCGCCAGCGGCGCCATCTGCTTGGCCGCCTTCCACTGGCTCGAAAGCAGCACCGCCTCCTCCTGCAGGCAGCAATGAGCCAGAGTAGCTGTGCTTGCTTCAGCGCCAAAAAGGTGTATTGCTTGATTTGCTGGCTATCACGGCCCCCCCTGCCAGGCATGCCAAGGCTTGCCTCGTTGCGCCGCTGCGCAGGCCCAGCAGACCTGGGACAGCGCCGCCGCCACGGTCGGCAGGATCTGGCTCTCCTCCTCAGCCAGGTGTGCGATGATCTCAGTCTGCATCTGCTTCATGCGGTTCTCCAGTGCCTGGCCGCCCACAGAGCGCAGCGCCAGCACGTCGGCGATCGACTGCTCAATCATCGAGTGCTCCTGCAGGGCAGGCCGAATGCGTGCAAGGCTTGCCGTCAGGCAGCAAGCAAGGCTTGCCGTCAGGCACGCCGGCGCAGCAAGGCTTGCCGTCAGGCACGTCAGCAAAAGGGGTCGACGGCGTGTGGGTGGGCAGCAGCAGCATGCCCTCCTGCGGCTGCAGCCCTGCCGGGCAGCCCACCGCCAGCGCGCGGGTGGCCCACTGCGCGCCGCTGGGCCCCAGGCGGGACTGGAGGATGGGGTAGAGCACCACAGTCTCCGCCTGCAGACACAGGAAGGTGGCAGCAGCAGCAGCAGCACATGGGAAGTCCTGAGCAGCGATTGGGATCTCATCCGCCCTCGCTGCGTGGCGGCCGGCCCCTGACGCGATTGTGGTTGCGTTGTGGTTCCCTGCCGTAAAGCAGGCGGCAAGCAGGAAAGCGGGCCAAGCAGGCTCTGCTCCCCTCAACAATCTCACGTGGGAGTGCAGCCTGAGGTCCAGAGCCAACGCCGACGCAGTCATGTCCTGAACGGCGGCATCCCCCAGGCTCGTCGCCTGCAGCAGGTATGCCACACAGCAGGCCGCTCTGGCTTGGGGAGGCACAACCAAAACTGTGCTTCGGACGCAGCTTGCCTGTCTGCCGGCAGCAGCTGCGGGACAAAGCACCTTGAAGAAGTAAGAAAAGAGGGTGAGGGTGTTGGAGTGGTCGCGTAGGATGCAGTCGATGAGGGTGGGCGGCGGCGGCAGGGCGCCCACGGGCGGCGACGCTGCCACGGTCGCCGCCGCCTGCGCCATGGCGGTGGCAGGGGTGTCCGCCAGCGTCTGCGGTGGGTGTGTGGGATGCTGCCGCATTAGCTCAGCATTGGCATCGTGGGCTTTGAGCTAAGCGCTAGGATAGGCGATCCCCAGGGTGGCGGGATCCCCAGGGCCGCGGGACGCAAGAGGGCGGAAGCTGAGTGACAGTCGCCCAACCGCACACAGCCCAGCATTGCACAGCAATATGGACGAGCCGGGCAGCGCTTGCCTCCTGCATGGCTTCCGCGTTCGCTGCCACCTGCTGCAGCTGGCCCTGCTGGGCGCTGGTGCCGCCGCCGCCGATGCCGCCGGCGGCTGCAGAGCTGGGAGGTGCGGGTGTGGTCTCCATGGTGGCTGTGTGGGCTGGGGTGGAGTCCAATGCAGAAGGCCGAGCTCCCGGAAGGGCAACAGGTTCCAAGGGATGCAGTACAGGTGCCGCCCTGGCGCTGACGTGGCGATCCCACTGTCCCACAATGCGCAACAGTTCCCAATTGGGAGGATCTTTCTCTAATTCCCAATCACCCTGTGACGTTGCGTGGATTGAGCTCACTCGAAGGAGCCTCGAAGACACTCCTCGACACCGAATTGGACGAACACCCTTCTCGGCAGCTACTTCGACACGCACAGCAGGCAGCAAAATGCACGCAGGGGCGACTTCCGGGGCCGCAGGGCCGTCCTCTCCCCGCCACACCGTGCTGCCGCCGCCACCGGGCGGGCCGGACGATGCAGCGGAGCGGACGGTGGATCTGACTGAGCCTGGGCTGGTGGATGTCATGCTTCTCGACCACCGCCACGAAATCCTGCTCTTCAACCGCTTCACCGTGGTGAGTATGCGGAACTTGGGCCCGCCGTGGCGGAGCGCCAGAGGCCCAGGCACGGCGCTCACTTGGCTGCCGCCACGGCCGCAGGCGGCGGCGCAGGGCAACACGCACGTCATGGAGCTGCTGGTGGGGGCGCTTGCGGTGGACATCCGCCTGCACTCCCAGGTGGGACAGCAGTGCATGGCAGGCAGGGAGCGCAGCCGGCAAAGGGATGCAGACATTCCGAATGAGAGGTGGAGCCGACCCACCACCACCCGCCACCCCAACCCAGCGACACGGCTGCTCTGCTCTGGAGGCTGCAGGCTGGAGCATATGCTTTCTTTCCCAGGCACCTCGCTGCACCCCTACGTGCCCGCAGGCATGCCTGGATGTGCTGTGCCCGCTGTTGGAGCGGCGGTATGGCGCCCGGGGCGCTGAGCTGGCGGCGGCGGTGCGGCAGCAGCTGCAGGGTGTGGAGCGAGATGTCCTTGAGGTGGGCCTGCACCCTGCAGCCTGATGGATAACAGCATGAGGCCTCCCTGTCATGGCTTCTCTGTGCACTCATGAGCCGAGGTGTTTCAGTCAGCCTCTGCAGATGCTGACTTTCCGCCGGGAGCGGGACTGGGCTGCCCTTGCACACAGGACAGACCTGGCGCACAAGGCGCGTTGGGCGGGCTGCATGCTACAGCAGTGCAGTCTGTGCCTGGCCCAGCTAGCGGCTGTCGCTCAGCGGCCTGATCCCCAGGCTGCTGTGCTTCCGTAAGCAAGTTTCGTCGATGCTGCTGGCAACTGTGCTGCCACTCCCCACCCAAAACCTTGCCCGCCACTGCGCAGGAGTATGGCGGGCACGTGTACGAAGTGGAGGTCGGCATTCTGCCCCGCCTGGCAGCGGACATGCGGCAGGTGAGGGAGAGACCGGTGAGCGGCTCAAGCGCGGCGCTGGATTCCGCACGGCTTTAGGCTCCTGATCGCACACCCCAGGCCCAACTTCCAGCCTGCCTGCCCTTCTGCCTGCCCTTGCCTGGTCCGCAGGATGAGCTGGTGTCTTCAGGCCTACTGTTCCAGCAGTGCAAGCAGACCGCCTCACTGGTGCCGCACACCGGCTCCGAGGCCTTTGCAGCAGCAACAGCACTGGGGCCCGATGCCGCCACCGTGCTGGGTGGTCCCCTGGTGGCTGGAATCTATCAGCCCCACAGCCATGCGCACATGCACGGCAGCGGCACGCGGCACGAGCAGCAGCCCGCTGTCGCCGCCCCAGCCAGCAAACTCGATGCACCCCAGCAGCACATGCTGATGGGAGAGGAGCTTTGAGGGGCAAGTAAGCGCCATAATCATCCAACAGCCAGCATGCTCGACAAATCTGCCATTGATGCTCATCGGCGCACAGCAAACAAAAAAGGGCAGAGGCGGTTGTTGCCGTCAGCACCGCCATGTTGGCGCGCCTCTCATGCTGCCGAGTCCCATGTGTGTCATTCTTCTTCTTCTTTGTCCCTGTGCATTCATATACCTCATTATCAGGCACAGTTAGCGCAGTGGCAACCTTCCAAGCTTGTTGCATTGCACAGGCTTGCGACATGCCGGCGTCTTCCCAGCCTTGATCAGGCCATGAGCCGGCGATGATGGCATCGGAGGCAGATGAAGGAGCGTCCGAGGCGCAGTGCGCCGTCTGCGGCCAGGAGGTGGAGCCCCAGCAGTCTCACATCGCGGCGGAGTGCTCAATTTGCGGCCGCCTGGATCTGCACTCGTGGTGGGTGGGCTTGAAGAGGTGACGGAGGCCTGCCCGCGGATTGCCCTCTCCTCGTCCTCTCCTCCTGGGCCCCCGAGCCTTGTGAGCAGCACACAACACTTGAGCAAGTTTTCCAGCAGCTCCCCGAGCCGCAATCAATGCAGCGGTGGTGGCAGAGCGGCGGCGGCCGGCGGCCAAACACCGGCCAGCACGGTGCGCTTCACCTGTCGCAGGTGTGCGACCAAGTACACCGGCAGCCGCATCAGGATGGTGCACACCAACTCCAAGGGCATCGAGAAGGGCAAGGTGTGGCGCGCCTGGTCGCCCTCGCCTGCCCACTGTTCCGACCGTTCGCCCTTGTACCAACTGACCCATCCGACATCGGCGTACCCAACCAAGGCTGCCTACCCGTCTGCCTGCCTGCAGTTGACTGCCAAGGCCAAGCCATGGAGGCAGCTGGAGCACATGCGGTGCCCACGAGGTGATGCAGGCTGCCAGGGCTGGCTGGCGCCACGTCTGCTGCCGCTGCAGCCGACTCGTTCTTGTGTCTGCTGCAGGCTGGCGTGACGACCAACAGCAGCAGCAGCAGCAGCGGGGCCAGGCACTTCCCGCCTGCACCGGACGCATTCAGGCAGCAGAGTTACTTGACACGCCTGACAAGCGGGAAAAGAGGAGGAAGAAGAAGGGACATGCTGGTGCCGGTGCTGCAGCCAGCAAGCAGCCGCCGCGGCAACGTCCTGGCAGCACTGCCGCTGCAGGGATCAGCAGCAAGCTGCCTGGCGCGGGCAGCGCACATTCTGCGCAGCCCACCGTGGCGCCTATGAGCCTGGCCAGGGCTCGGGAGTTTCTGGGCGTTGAGGCGGAGGAGGCGGGCAGCAGCGATGAGGACGATGAGGAGGAGGGTCTGTCATCTGAGGATGGGCACAGCGAGGGGGAGGAGGAAGGGTGGGGTGATGAGGAGGAGGAAGAGTGGGGTGAGGAGGAGCACGAGGAGCAGGGGTATGAGGGCAGCGAGCTTGTGGAAGGCGGCGGCGATGGCGGCGGTGACGCGGCCCAAGGCGAGGCCGCCGGGCAGCGAGGTGAGTGGTTGGGAGGCACGCGGGGAGCAGGGCGGGGAACCTGGCACCATTCGAATTGCTGCATCAGGTTTGGTGACAGCCGGGTGGCCATACCGCCCTTTGCTGCAGGCTGCGAGGGACGCCTTGCCATCCCAGCAGGCGCCGACGCTGCGCAGCCGCACTCGCCAGGGGCGCACCAAGAGGAGGAATCGGCTGTGTTGACTGCAGAGGAAGCCGAGGTGGCGGTGAGTTTCTTGACCATACCGCATGTACCGCAGCATCCTGCTGGCTGCCTCCCTCCCAACCTCAGCTTGATGTCCTTGCTGCACAGTACGTGCCTGTCTGCCTCAGCCTTGGCGTATGCTCCTCCGCTTGCATGTGTAGGTGCGGGAGGGCCTGCTGCCAGCCCACTACCGCACCCGCCTCTGCGCCAAGTACCTCTCCGGCTCCATCTGCCCGTATGCCTGCTGCCAGCACGCCCACAGCTTGGAGGAGCTGCGAGTGGAGGCAGCCATCCAGGTAGGCGCCGGTGCCAGCAGGCGGTTTGAGGCGCGCCAGGGCCCTGCAGGGGGCAGCCATCTTCTTGCTGGCATGGCTGCCAAGCCCGGCGGCAGAAACAGCCGCCTGTGTTTGCATGCACGACATAGCGAGCATTTGGCCTGGCCTGCCCGCCTGCTGTGTGTCTCCACTGCAGGCCGGCAACCTGCCCCCCAGCTACAAGACCATCGTCTGTGCCGACGTCATCTCCAATGGTGGGCCAGCACCTGCCTGCCTGCTGGAGCAGCCTGGAGGGCATGCCAGCAGCGGACTGCTGTATGTTTACCGCTCCTTCGAGCAGCCCAACCAGTACCCCTTCTGCGGCACAGCGCTCATGCCGCGCGCCCTCCTGCCCTTCCCCTCCCATTGGCTGCAGGCTTCTGCGCCTACGGCCCGGCCTGCCTATCGGCCCACTCTTCCCATGAACTCAGGTGGGGCACAGGGGACAGCTGCACACCCGCATCGCTCGCGCTCACCAGAGCAGTACATGCCAGTTCATAGCAGAACATGCAGTACATAGCAGAACATGCAGTGCCATGCCTATCCCGCTTTCCACACACACATGCACACGCCCACTGTCGCCACCTAGCACTTGCACCACCCACCGCGGCTCTTCCTGGCAGGACGCTGGCCTCAATCCAAGCCGGCATCGTGCCCCCCAGCTACAAGACGCAGCGCTGCACCGCCTTTGCCATGTATGGTTGCTGCCCTTACGGTGCGCAGCGCAGCCTCCAGCCTCCCGGGTCTGCCATCTAGGCAGACGCGCGCACGGGGAGCGCCGCTGCAGCCTACAACCTCAGCGCCCGGCAGCTGGGCCCAGAACCGCCTGCCTGCATGCTCGCCTGCCTGGCTCCCTGCCCACCTGCCTCGAGCTACATCTCCTCTGCCATCACATGCGACCTGCAGGCCTGTTGTGTGGCTATGCCCACCACGCTTATGAGCTACGGCGCGAGGCGGCGGTGCAGCTGGGCACGCTGCCACCGCGGTACAAGACCTCCCTCTGCGAGGCGTACTACGCGACTGGCAGGTTCGGCGGCAGCTGCGCCTGGGCGCTCTTGCCGCTGTGCTGCATGCTGCGCCAGGTGCTGGAAGCTTCTTCCCTGCCTGCACTTGCGAATTCTCATTGGCATTGGTTCACCCAAAACAGTGCGTATTGTTGCAGGTGCTTGCGGGGAGACGCTTGCCCGTTTGCTCATGGTGTGGACGACCTCAGGCTGCATGCCGCCATCAGGCAAGCTGGTGGCATTGCAGCCGGTGGTGGCGGCCTGCGGAGGCCGGCTGTGTGTGGTGTGTGCCACGGCCAGGCCAGAGTGTCTGCTATTCTCTCCAGGTGGCTGTGACCGCGAGAGGCATGCACCGCCAACACGCCGCCCTGTCGGCCGGGCCCGTTGCTGCTTGCAGGGGTGGCCTGCTGCCGCCCAACTACAAGACCGCGCTCTGCGCCGCCGGGCAGGCGGGCTGCTGCCCGCAGGGCAGTCGCTGCACCTATGCCCATGGGGCGGACGAGCTCCTGCCATGGTTACCCACCAAAGCCACGCTCTGCAACATCTTTCAGGAGACGGGGCGGTGCGAGGCAGGCTGCCCCTTTGCCCACGGCGCGGCTTCCCTGCAGCTGCCGCTGGACCGTATTCGCCGGAAGCTGGCGGCGGGCCGGGGTGGTGTTGGTGCAGCCGGCGGCGAGGGATCCCAGCCCCCTGCAGCAGAGCCGAGCCAGGTGGCGGATGGCGATGGGCGCGGCGCCAGCTGTGCAGCAGGTGGTACTGCTGCTGCAGCAGGCGGCAGCCAAGCAGGCAGCGATCCAGCACGTGGCAGCAGCACGCGGGACACAGAGTGGGGCTTTGCGGCCGGTACCTCCGGAGCTGCAGATGCGGCCCCTCCTGCCTCTGCTGGCGGCTCAAGCCACACAGCCGACGCTGCGGCTGGCGCTGCATCAGGGCGCAGCAGCGGCGCTCCCAGCGAGAGCGGCAGCCGGGAGCTGGCCGCAGAGGGCAGCAGCAGGAGCTCTGCCTCGCTGCGCCAGAGGACGCACCCCCAGCAGCAGCAACAGCAGCAGCAGCAGGCACCTAAGCAGCTGCGCCTGTCGCAGCGCCACCAGCAGCACGAGGCCCAGCTGCTTGCCCTGCTGGGCAACCGAAGGCGGCCGCAACACCTCAAGCCTTGCAAGTATGGGAGCCTGGCGCAGCTATCCACCTGCCTGCATGACCGTCTATGCCTCGTTCCTGCAAGCGTGCCCAACATCTTGGCCTGCACGGATTCCAATCCACCTACCAATGGGGAGTGATTACCCCCTTGGCTTGCCCTTGCAGGGACCACGCAGAGTGCGGCCAGTGCTGGACCGTAGACTGCCCATACGCGCACGGCCCCAAACAACTTTTGCAGCGGGAGAAGAGGTGGGTGGTGCCACCAGTGCCACGTGCTGCCGGCCTGCTCCGCGCCTGCTCTTCCCTTCACGGCGGCCGTTTCCAAACCCCACTTCGAGCCGTCCCACTGGTTGCTTTTATCTGCAGCTGGATTGCGAGTGAGATTCAGCGGCGCGAGCAGCGGCGCCAGCAGGGCTACGAGCAGCGGCGGGAGGCGGTGCGTGTCGTGCCAAGGCCGGCGGCTCGCTGGTGTACCTGTGCTGCGGTGCCGGCGCTGGCTGGGTGCCCCACCTTGGCATGCCGCAGCACGGCTCAGTGCTGCCTGCTACGCCTGCTTTCCTGCGCCTGCAGGCAGGGCGGGAGGCTCGGGAGCGGGAGCAGCAGGCGGCACTGCTTTCGCAGTACCGCACCGTTGGCGGCGACGGCGGCAACTCCGGCGACCCCGCCCAGCAGCAGCCCACGCAGCTGGCTGCAGAGCAGGTGCTGTCTGGCGCCGTGATCAGCCAGATGCGAGAGTGAGTAGCATGGCGCTCCGCATGCTCGCCAGCCTGCCACACGCTCCTGGCGACCCTGCTCAGCGCTGCGTGGCAGCCTGGCTCAGCTGCTCCCTCATGCACGTTCTCTGCTCACAATTGCATGTCCTAATGCAGGCATAAGCTGGCGCTGTGTGCGCAACTGCTGGTGGAGGCAGGGTTCGATGCTCGACAGGCCCGCGCCGCAGCAGGCAAGCCTGGCGGGAGAGCCCGCGCCGGGTGTGGGTGTGCAGCCCAGGCGGGCCCACCGGCTGTGCTGTTGCAAGGGATCATGTGCAGCATGCATGCCAATGTGCCTCTGCCGCGCCCCTCTGCAGAGGCTGCTGGCGCGGTGGCGGAGCGAGCCTTCGACTCAGTGCTGGAGGCAGGCAGTGTTGGTGCCGGTAGCGGCGGAAGGCCGACGGTCAACGTCGCTGGGTGCGTCCACATGTTCTGTTCACCCCAAAGCTGACAGGCTGGCCTGGGGAGGCCTGGCGGTCTCTGGAATGCATGGTTGGAAGTCGCAGCACCTCACAAGCGCCCCCTGTGGTGTGCAGGGAGGCTGAGGTGGTGGTGGCCCATGCACGCCTGCTGGGCCTGCCAGCCGCCGCTGCCGACCAGGAGCTGCTGCTGGCGGCAGGGGACTGGGAACAGGCGAGCAGAGCTGCAGGGATGGCTAGGCCATCCATTGTTAACCCTTGGTCTACACTGCCAGCCTGCGGACGTGCAGAGCTGCCTCTCTTGAGGTCTTGATCCTTTCTGAAAGGTCTGGTGGTCACACCCATGCTGCAGGCCAAGCGGCAGCTGACAGTCCGAGCGGGTACCGGCGGCGGCGGCGGCGCGGCCACCACAGATGCCAGCTCTGCGGGGCAGGCCGCCGCACAGGTGGGATGCTGAAGTGCAGCCAACTGAGCAGGTGGCTCAGTTGCCAGCTTGTGTCTTGGCTGCCCAGGCTAATGTTGTCGCTCAATGAGGTGATGCGCCGCCACGCCTGCCTGTCGCCTGCTCCCTCTTGCAGATGCCGGTGCCGCTGCCCCTGCCTATGCCGCTGCCTATGCGGCTAGGAAATTCTGCAGCGCCGCTGCCACAGCAATCGGAGGGCCTGGGCACAGCGGTGGGCTGGGGAGCGGATGACTGGGGCGACGCCACACCAGAAGCGGCCGGTGCCGGTGCCGAGGCGGGCGTGGCAGCGGCTACCGCGCCTGCAGCAGAGGCGGCTACGGCCGCAGCGATGCTGGCGCCAGAGGCAGTACATGCGGCGGGACAGGTGGCAGAGGAGCAGTATGTAGAGGAGGGCTTTGAGTCGTTTGTGGATGTGATCAGCCGGGCCTGGCAGGACGGGCAGGAGCCGGACGGGGAGCTGCAAGGGCATGATGCGGGGCATGATGCGCAGCAGCAGGACGAGCAGCAGGAGCATCGGGACGGGCAGCAGCGGCAGGAACAGGACGAGTTTCTGCAGCACGTGGAGCAGGAACAGGACCAGCAGCAACAGCAGGCACAGCAGCAGGACGAGCAGCAGGAGGAGCAGGCGCTTCAGCATGGTGAGGTCCAGGGAGCTCAGGAGGCACCCGACACGGAGCAGGCGCCAGCAGCAGGGAGCGGAGACTTGCTGCCATCACCGCAACTAGAACAGCAGATGGAGCGGGAGCAGCCAGAAGGCTCAGTGGCGGTGGAAAAGGGGCCGGATGGGGCACCTGCGGCCGGCGCCGCCGAAGCAGCGCCAACCTCCGCACCGCCACAGCCTGCTGCCATGGCGGACAGTGCTGCCGTAGATGCGGCACCGCCAGCCTCGCCTGATGCGGCACCACTTAGTGAGGTGGCTCCCCTTGCGGCAGAGGCTGCTGTTGTGGCAGCAGAAGTGGCAGCAGGCCAGCCAGACAGCCTGATCGCAGGAGCCGCACCAGAGCCAGAAGAGGTGCAGCCGACAGCAGTGGCTGTGGCAGCAGAGCAGCAGGATTCGGAAGCGCCGCAACCAGCTGCATCTGAGGCTGATGCAGCACCGGCCGAGCCAGCTGTGCCGTCATCAGCTGCCCAGCTGCAGGTGGTTGGTGCAGAGCCGGGCTCGGTAGCACCATCCACCGATGTGCAGGCGGCAGATGTGCGCCCTCCCGTTTCGGATGGCAGCCCCAGCACCCTTGCGAAGGGTGAATTGGAAGTGGTGGCCACAGTCCTGGATGCCACGCTTCCAGCGGTGCTAGCTCCAAAGGCTGCACCGCCGCTCAGCATCACCCAGGCTGGCGCCGAGCAGGAGCCGCCTGAAGACGAGGTGGACCAGCTGCTGAGCCTGATGGGCATTGCCTGATGTTTTCCTCCTCTTCCTTTCCCATTGTTTACACTGCAACGCTTGTGAATCTCCTGTAAGGAACAGCTGGTACAGGCTGTCACGGGAGGAATGAAGAGGTTCTAGAAGTCAGGAAAGAAAGCAGGGCCGCAGCACTCGTGTGGCCTGCACAGCTCCTTTAGGCACAAGTCAGAGAGCATGGAGTCCCTCAGGCGCCTGTCAGCCAAGCTCCGTGGCAAGGACGAGGCCGGCACTGCCCCTGCAGCTGGCGAGGGGCAGCAGGTGGGCTTGGGAGGGGCGTCCAAGGTGCAACGGAGGGGCGGGGAAGCAGCCAAGGCTTCCCAGGCAGCGCGTGTTCCGGCGCTCACGGCGGCCGGGCTCCAGCCCTCCGCTGGCTGACCGCCTTCTGAAATGACAGCTCACTCATCCAAGTGCTTGCTCCGACTAAGCACAGGTGGGGATGCCGGCGGCGGCCCGCGTGACGGTGGAGTCGGTCCAAACCCCCGCCGGCACCACGGCACCGCACGACCTCAAGCTGGGCCGAGTCTCGACAGAGTATGGCGAGGTGGAGGGGCTGCCGCTGCCCAGCAAGTCCAGCGGCCCGCTGTCGCCCCGCGCGCAGGCCATCAGGTGAGTTGGGGCTGCGCGGCGCCCGGCCGATGCGGGCCGTTCGGGACGCTGGCAAGCGGCAGTTGCTGGCAAGCATCAGCCCAGCAAGCTCCAGCTCTGAGCTTGCGATTTTGCACCGATGCTGCACGTGCCGCTGCCTGCCCGCCGCGCGCTGCGCTGGGCCGTCTTCTTGCCGCTTCCTGCAGGCGGACGTGGCCTGCCTGAGCCCATGCCAGCACCACTGGTTTGTGATTGGTGCAGGCAGCAACTGGGCGCACTGATCGAGGAGGGCCCCAGGGTGCAGTGAGCAAGGCGGCGAGGAGGGGCTGCGGCAACCGCAAGCAGCAGCGCCAGGTCACGTGAGGCAGCAGGTCAGGACGGGCGCTGACTCCAACACCCAACTGTGCGTGACGCGCGATGCATGATGACGGATGGTTCAAGCCAAGGCTGGGTAGATGGCAGCAGGGCGACAACGAGGGCAGAGCGATGTTGAGCAGGCGGCGCGCCAGGACTTCTTATCAGGCCTATCGCAGTGCCCTACCTCTGCTCCCTAGATCAATCCCTGTATGATCGACATGAGATTGCAACATGAATGCGCCAGCTACATGCAGTGCAGCGTCTGCGCCTGCCTTGTGGCGCTGTCACGCCGCGCCAGTGCCCCTCTTGCACTAGACACAGGTTTCAGTTACAGTGGCGGCAACAAGGCTACGGTCGAGTTGGGGGGTAGTGTCAAAAGTGGGTGGATACTGGCAATCAATGCCCTGCCCACCCTGCAGTGCGCTCAACTCAGTCAGAGAAAAAGGGGGATTGCAGGGTGGGTGCGCGGATGATGAGGGGAAGCGGAGCTGGGAAAGGTGAGCAGAGGGTTGGTGCCAGAGCTGCGGCAGGCAACCTGGGGCCACTGGTGCAAACGATTTATTGGCGGATTGCGCCAGGGCCAACGAGAGGCAATGACAGAGCGGCGGGGACCAGCGGGCAGGATAAATATCAAAGGCAGGGGAACGAGGAGTGGGGCCCTGGGCTGAGTCGGCGTTGCAGGGAGCATCGCCAGCCACACTCGACAATGCAAGGAGCGCTGCCTGCAGGCGCAGGAACCGAGGGTATGATACAGGGCACAGCAGGCGGGGAAGGCCGCTCACGCCTCCTCCACTGCCGCATCCCCACGCCCAGACGGCATCTGCGCCACTGCTGTGGTAACCATGGGCGCGACGGCCGCCGCGGCCGCCCGCTCATGCTGCACTACGGCCGCCGCCGCGGGGGGCAGCAGCGAGGGCTGGGCGGGGGCCGGGGGCGCCGCCGCGGGGGCGGCGGCCGCGGCCTGCGCGGCCTGCGCTGCCTGCACCACCGCTGCCGCGCCCGCGGGGCTGTCTGCCAGCACCGTCTTGCGCTGGGCAATGGCTGCATCGAACTTGCCCTGCATCACGCTCAGGAT